ACACAAATTTTGCCAAACATTTTCATGGTTGAGTCTTTTAAAATAAAAAAGAATTTTAATATTAATTGCTTACTTCTTATTGCGTTTTTCTTACTTGCCTTTTTTGTTAATTGTATTTTGCAAAACATTGTAATATATTACTTTATACTCTTTCTACTCTAAACTACCGTACGTTCTTAACGTTCGGAAACGTATTTATACTGTTTTCTTATCTCTAATACCTAATTATTTTATAGATGGAGATGAACAACAGTCCAGTTTCCGTGACCTCGCCGAAGAAGAACTCCGTTCATGGCGATGAAACAACTTTTAAGCAGCCACTTGGGTGAGTCTTAACATTTTAACATAAACAATTCTCGATAATAATCATATCATTGTAATTTTTTTCTGGTAAAAAGATAGAGAAGGTGTTTTCAAGCTTTTTTTTGGGTTATATGGCATTTATAAATTATAAGCTAAATTATAAGATAAATTATAAGTCTATTCTTAAAGATTATTACTAGCGGTAGCAGTTAGTGCCAAATTCATACGCAGCAAAGTAAATTTCTTAACATGAGCCACTGATATAAACGGAGTTCATATTTTTATAATTTAGTAATGACTAATTGATTTTATGTATATATAGATTTTATGTATATAAGTTTTAACTAGTCTTGATGGATAATTGAGGTCTAATTATATACAAAAATAATTTAATTTTTACTTCCGTGCTTTTTGAACGAAGATGCAACACAAAGTTCGAATGTGTAATTTTTATTTAAAAAGCATTTATGGAACAGCGTAACAGAATTTATCTTTTTATGTGATTTCTCTATACTCTTTTGTTATTTAAATTATATAAAAGAACATAACAAATTATAGAAATATAAATAAAAAAGATATTAAAAGTATTTATAATGTTTTAATTTAATAAAGCATATTATTATTGTTATATCATTTAATAATTAAGCGATATAATCTTGTCAAGATTTCGTATATCATTTTGGTAAGACCTTTTTATACAATTTAGAATCCGCGGCAGAATAGGCATATTTTTATCGCGCAATAGTAAAACTACTTTTGAAATTAAATGTTTGTCAAATCAAATTATAAAAGATGATGGTATAACAAAAAATGATAGAAGATAATGTAACAAAAAATGTTGTTATTATTATATTAATTTGAATAGTATATTTTTTCGATTAATATAAAATTTTTTTTAGATTACTATCTACATTATTTTTTGTTCTTTATTGACACAATGTTTTAATATCATTACTTTTTTATAAATTAAAATAAAAGCAATATTATTAATATTGTTTTGTGCAACAATACTATAACTTTATATTATTTATAAAAAATTAGTTAGTTGATAAAACAATATTCTTATAACAGACGTCTGTTGGTGTTTTTCTTTATTTTTTTTGAAAAGATAATTTTTAAAACTGTTTGATTAATAAGTTTCGTTTTAATAGAATTATCTATTATGTGATCAATAAAAGGTTGATTAATATGAGATGCCTTGACGGATAGTAATTGCACGAAGATTAGTGCAGTCGCAAGTGTGCGACACTTAATTCTGATTGAACACACCACGTGAAGAGTACGATTTAATTACTTCTTTAAAGCTAATTTAAACTCACCGAGTTACATAATTACGTGGACAATCGTTAGACAATGTTACAATAACTAATATTATGCAATTTGTTATATGCGTGCTTAAAAATCATCTTTGTTGTAATTAATATTCGAAATAACTATTTGTTACGAGTACCTATTAGTTATCATTTATTATTAATCTAATTTGTTTTTATTTTTAAATGTTTGTATGCATGTGAATAAAAATAAAATATGGATAAAATAAAATAATAAGATATATATTGGCAATTAATATATTTGTCGATATAAATCTGGGTTGTAATAATTCAAAACGAGATGTCAAAATGAAATAGAAACAATCAATAAATGTCGGGCAAATCTTTGCCTTAAATTTGCAGACATGCTATTTCAAGTGTCAGACCATTGCCAAGAATGACATTCTATTGGTGTGACCGACATGCCTATCGTATTCGTTAGGAAAATATTTTTTCGCTATATGTTTTTTCATTTGCGTCACATTGACGTCGTCAACGTTAATTGTGAAAATTCGACCACTTTTTGCTTGAAAATTGCGGCATGCATGTGCAACATATCCGGCGATTAGTACTGTATGTATGTGGAAAATCACGTAAAATATCAAAGTTATTATTAGATATACACATATATATATAGCGCGACAATCAGTTCAACTATAATTATACTATTTTTATCTTGATAAAAGAGGTATAAAAAAATATAGTTATTTGGAACGATCTAACGATAAATTTAGTATACAAGATATTTAGTAATTTATTCTGAAATAATACATAATCTCGAGTGTATCTTTATCAATTCTCGTTTGATTACAGAAATGGCGGGACGTATGGAGCATTCCAGTCGAAAGATCCTATTCTGACAATCGAGAAGAGCAACGATGCTCTTAACAAGAGCGGAAGTAATGAGCACGGTATCACCGTACATCATCCGACCTCGTAAGTTTGATCGACATTAACAAAACAGTAAACTTTTATTAATAACAAAAGGATTGATAGCAAATCGTATTGGCAAAAACATTGACGAGGCTCGCGTTAACGAAGAAAGCAAAGATCACGCGCGTCGTGTATCAAGCGATGAAAATGGTGTCACGTACCTTAAGAGTGCAAACATCTCTGGAGAAACAAACAAATTTTGCAACATGATAAGAGTGATATGGCGACAAGGATGGCACGTGATCGCGAAACATACATACATATGATTTCAGAAGACGGAAGAGCGAATACGTTATTATCTCGTTACTCTCGCTTACGATATCCCGATAAAATACCTAATTCACCGTATTTCCACGCAAACCATCGTAACTACTTTTTTCCGGGAAGAGTCACGCTTTGTCAGAATGTGACATTGTTTAGGCATTGATTGCTCGTTGCAATTTTCTGACGGATATCCCAATTGTGTAAAAATATTTTATATATATAGATGGATTGGATATAAGCGAGACGTAACGGAAAATTTGTCTTTCAATTATATTGTAAAGAATTGAGAAGGAGGAGAGGGGGAGGGAGAGAGAGAGAGAGAGAGAAAGAGAGAGAGCGTGCAAACCACACCCGAAATAAACCACACCCGTTTTTGGCATAAGCGTACATCGATTCGCGTAATAGCCACATTTAACTCATCATTTGTCGCCTTATCGTCATTAGAAATCGCAAACAAAATTAAGCTAATTTTAGTATTTCAAAAACTGATTTAAAGTGATATGACTTACTTGAATTAGTTTAATATTATTTTAATTTTATTTTGAAAACAAAGTCTTTCATTTACGGAAAGAATTTCGTGAAGCTATCGAATTGTATAGCTATAATTTCGACTTGTATTATTTATAATCTGTACTATGTATATTTCTGTTTAAATATTCCATAATCAGATACATAATCGTATTGCAATCGTATTAAATTAAAAATACTGCAGTTTCTTATATTTATTAATACATTTATTATTAATATGGCTAAATCATGAGAATTATAATTACAAATTGCGGTTTTTATATTCTTGAGCAACTTGTTTATTTGTTCAAGAACGGCAACTATTCAAATTAATTTGTATTAATAATTAAATGATATCCAAGAGATGCGTTTAATAATTCTAAGCAAACGAAATCAAGCAAAGTCGATAACTGACAAATTCCCAAGAATTCCCATCACATACACATACATACCTTATATGATCCCTTTTTGATATATTTAAAAACGCATACGGAACATTTATATTTACATTTTGATTCATAATTTTATAATCTTTATAATGCCCGAAATCTCACTTATAACCGATGATTCGTTTTAATCTGCATTGCCGCGCAGATATTGAATATCGCATTGAGTCAAAAATAAGTCAAAATGCGCTAACGAACTGGAATTGGACAACTGCAGGTACCTGGAAACCATGATGCATCTGTTCAAGGGTAACGTCGGCTCGGGAATCTTTGCTTTGGGAGACGCTTTCAAGAACGCCGGATTGTTGCTGGCACCTCCACTGACGATCCTCCTCGGTGTCATCTGTGTACATGCTCAACATATTCTCGTATGTATATATATATATATATATATATATAATTAATCCATAATTATTAATCATATTATAAATAAAATGACAAATGATAATATGATTTTTTTATTGCAGATAAATTAAATGTAAAGAAGTTAATAATATCTTTCATAATAAAATATAACTCTCGGGGAGTGAGATTACAAAACACTCTTGATATGTAATATCTCTTGCAGATTAAATGCAACGAGGAGGTGACACGACGTGTTGGTGATGGCACCAATACAAGCGGATTCGCTGGAACTGTGGAAATGTGCTTTGCTACTGGACCCATCAGATTTCGTAAATATTCGAGTTTTATGAGGTGCGTGATGGATGAAAGAGCCAGAAGAAAGAAAGTGCGGAATAACAAGAAACACCAGCTCACGCAAATATTTAAACAAGTTACATTTTTAGTCCCCACTTATACAGACTTTTCAATTCGTTTGGATGCTATTCGCGTCTATTCTTTAATTTGCCCCCTTACACACGTCTATTAATTATGTTTTATGATTTCCGCATTAGCGTGCCGCTAATGTTGCATGTCATTTATGTCGCTCTCATGATTTTGTTGCAGAAAATTGGTTAATATATTTTTGTGTATCACGCAACTCGGATTCTGCTGCGTATATTTTGTTTTTATTTCCACAAACATGAAGCAGGTAAGACATCTTCCATCGGCTCCATCTTAGCTTTTTGGATTTTCACGTTTCGATATCTTTGACTCGTTCGCTGTATATGTTCATTTCTTTTTATCACAAGAAGTATGAGGCTCCCCAAGAATTGCTTGCTCAGATAACATTCGTATCTTTATTGCGTGTAATTAATAATAATTTGTTAGAAAAGACAGAAATTATGTTTTTTTTAGATTAGATCTTTTATATTTAGCAATAAATAAATATTTTTAATAAAAAATATTACAAAAAGTTTTGTTTTATTTTACACGATAGGTATTAGACGCACACGGGATCGAGATGGATGTTCACGAGCACATGGCTGTGGTACTGGTTCCTATAATGCTTAGTACCTGGATTAGAAATCTCAAGTATTTGGTACCGCTATCTTCGATAGCAAATTTCCTAATGATTGCTGGTTACATCGCTACCATGTACATCATGAGTTATGATGTACCGAACATACGCGAAAGAAGATACGTCGCGGATTGGAACAATCTACCTCTGTTCTTTGGCACTGTGATATATTCCTTTGAGGGTATTACTCTAGTGAGTATAGACATTTTTTTTAAATAAAAATATACAATTTATGGATAAAATACACGAGGAGCGAAATTAAATCATATTTTACTCTAACAACATTGACGTGCAGGTACTGCCACTGAAGAATGAAATGAAGAAACCTAGAAATTTCTACAAACCGCTGGGTGTTCTCAATGTTGGTATGGTGATAGTTGGCACTATGTTCGTTGCAATGGGTTTTCTGTCTTACCTAAAGTATGGTGATGATGTTGCTGGTTCTGTCACGCTTAATCTTGCACCAAAGGAAATGTGAGTATCGAAACTAATTGCACTTTGTGTGAATATAATGCATAACTTATTATCTTGTCGAGTTGGCTTGATCACCGAGCGATTATTTTGTAACATCTTTTTTCTGTATTCCAAGGGTGAACGGGAAAAACATCTACAATCAAATAAGGTTTTTACTTAAACGTTTGCTGTGTGATCAGATATTAGCCAAGATAGCTTTGCGAAAATTTAATACTAAATGACGTGTTCGCTTCGTGCATGTTTTAATTATTAATCATGAAGTGAATCGGTCTATAATTGTTTCTTTTTATTTAAAAATGAAATAATGAGCAATTTTTCTTCGGCTAACAAATTGAAATTTTTTACAGCTTGCCGCAATGTATCAAGACCGCCATTTCTTTGAGCATATTGCTTACTTATGCGTTGCAGTTTTACGTCCCGATCGCGATAATGTGGCCAGGAATTGTCAATAAATTCGGTCCATTTAAGTGGCCGGTATTTACAGAGATTATTTTTCGCTCCGTTATGTGTCTTGTTACATGTAAGTACAATAAACTTTAGGAGAGTTTTATTATATTACATAAAAATTATCATAAAAATTTATCTTCTTTTTGACGATATCTTTGTTGTTAAATTTATGTTTCACATCATAAAGTTAAACGATATTTGTTTTTTATATTTTATGCACAAGATAAAAAATATTAACATTTATTTAAAATTATGTTTAAAATTTTTCGTTATTAATATATTATTAATAAATGTTTATCAATATCTTATTAACTATTCATCAATATTTTATTTTGTTAAAAGAATAAATAAGAAATAAGTAAAAAACAATTTTTATGTTTTATTTCTCATATTTTATAGCTTAGTTTCTATACGTACATATTATGATTTAAAATTGACCGTTTTTCTAGTCATCCTCGCAGAGGCAATACCAAAACTGGGTCTCTTCATATCCTTGGTCGGCGCGGTTAGTAGCACCGCTCTCGCTCTAGTGTTTCCGCCGATTATTGAAATGATCGTTTGCTGGCACAACACCAATCTCGGTTTCTTCACAATCACGAAAGATGTAACGATAGTGTTGATAGGCGTGCTGGGCTTTGCAACCGGAACATACGAGAGCGTGACGGCGATCATCAAGTCGTTCAGCGAGTGAATTAAGCGCACTCTAAGCGCTTTGTACAAATTATTCTTAATTTCTCTCTTGCGAACGCGTGCGAGCGAGTTTAATGGACCATGACACCTACGGTATTTCCGTGCGCGTTTTGTGAAACTCGCGCACCTCTCAATTCTGCATGCTCGTAGATGTCATCCGGGTTTTACGGGCCTGTCGACATTAGCCATTTTAATGTACCGATAACTTATGTGTGATATATCGATAGATATAGTTGATAAGATGCAACATAGGTTGTGGATATCAGTAATTGTTAATAATCATACGTAATAACATAAATCCCTTGAGTTTTGCATTGTTTGAGTATCGAATAATGTATCGAAGTATAATTCAACACAGTAATTTGTATGATAAAAAAAAATGTAAATACAAGAGTATTGACCCCTTCACAATTTTACATGTGCAGAGCTTGCAACAGTGATGCAGATAGAATAATACTCAATATTCTCGAATAATTCTCGATTAGTACTCGTCATTCTCAAAGAAGTTGATTTAGCGAATTGTGCTTGCTTTAATCCTATAGAAGTAAAACATGGATTGTTAACTAACGGGACTAGTTGATCATCTAACTGAAACAATAATTATGTATTAGAAAAAGATACTTGACAATTATCGCAAAAACACTTTTACATAAACAGAAATCTTGTCTTAACAAAATGTATTAGTTCAATAAAATTATATTTGATACCGCATGTTACTGCAAGATAAGCTGCACATTTCGAACATAGAAGATTGTATTATGTTTTATTTACTTACTAAAGATGACATTATTTGTGACGAGGACATATTCTGTCTAAGTACCTTGATTTGTAACTGTAATTACAATTGGAATCCTAATAACTTTTTTTTATTGTAACGATTATTGTAACAGCGGCGTAATTGTACATTATATTTATATGCTTCAGAGTTAGTTTCACCAGCATTGATTAAATATTAATACTTAAAATCCATATCCTCTGCGTTCTAAAAAAAGAAGAAGAAATAGATTAATTAAATTAATATAGGTGAAATTAACTCTCCGCGCGATCAATATTTATAAGAGACAATAATAAGTAAGAATGTAAATGAATAGCCGAGCGATATTTAACTATATGTTATATTTTATTATAGTTTAATAGATTCGCTTTATTGTTAAATTTTTTATATTCGCAGCGGTGCTTATGATACGAAACATAATGAACAACAAACACAGCACCTGAAAAATGAATCATCGACTATGTACAATTTCGATATCCTATATCAACTGATATAGTTAAGACTCATCCATGCTATTCGGAGATTCTACAAGAATCCTTCATAAATATCCAAATCCCGTAAATATTAATTATACATACATTTAATTTATAAATTAATTGCGTCGACAAACACGTTATCAATCGCGTTCTTAATTCAATATCGTAAAATATTTCTTACCAAAGAAAGAATCTCTCAATTGAGATTTTTCATTTCCACGTAAGTAGCGTACTTGTACAGTATTAATTAAAGTTAAAAAACGACGGAAATACTCATTAACGATAAGACATGAATATCGATCGAGAATGTAAGCGGTATGACGTTATCGCGCCTCGAAGTACAAAACTCACTCAGGGAAGCTTATATTAAAGTACGTATATGTCTTATTTTCTTGATATATTTAACAGCAGTGTGTAAGATATTTCTCTCAGATGCTGAGGTTGATGGAAGAGAAAGAGATGTCAATAAACATGTGGCACAACGAATTGTCTATTCATGTACCATGTGTTTCCACATTGAGCAATCTCGCAAATCTCTCCCGTTGCTTTTCTGTGAAAATTGATGCAATTATCCTCGATGTAAAATAATGTAACGTAGAAACAGTTGCATAACGTTTGACTAAAGTTTGGTAAAACGTAAATTGTACTTGAACTATTTTTGACAGCAGGGTCATATTTGAAGGTTGGATTTTAGATGGAACATCATAAAAGATAATTTTTTTTTAAGAATAATAAAAGCCATGATCCGCCAAAATGGTAAGATTAAATCTGACTCACTTTTTATACATTTGAGTAAATAAATTAAATTTGTATATGCATACATAATATATATATGGATAATATATGTAAGAAGCACACATAAAAGAAAAAAAATGTGGGAATACCTATGGAAAATAATTACATTATTACGAAAAAAAATCTAAATTTTTTAATAAAGTCATTCAAATAAATAATTAAATTTATTCTCAAAAGTTATATAAATTGTTTTGGAACATTTTAAGATTTTCATAGGCAACTGAAAATCTTTCCTTTTTTTCTTCAAATATTTCCATATCTTGCTTTTATACATAATTATTACAAGTGTATCAACTTTTTTTAAATTTAAATAACATTATAATTGATATAATATCAATTTATATTATGTTAGATTATAATGTAATTATTTTAGTATTTTATTATGTTTCTGTTATATAAAGCATATGAATTCTCGTGATTTTCATGATTTGAAAATCTAATAGAAAAAAATCAGAAAAAATATATCTTTAAGAACTGTTTATAAATTCTTCGTTACTAGAATTGCTTATAAATTTTAAAGTTTCATTAGTTGAGTCAGACATGGAAAAAAGAATGATTGCCAAGCAATTAAACTAGAAACTGCAAATTCATTGCAATTCATGAGCAATATCGATAAAAATACTTTAAGTTGTTCTCATAGTTTTAACCTGTTCAGTAACTGGATCGGAAACATACAGAGCATTGCGCAAGAAAACTTTTAAAATGCATGCTTTCAATTCAATTATATACGCTCACATGATATAATTAATTATGCCATTATTTTTCTTCTCAGTCGATGGAAGTTAGACACACGTTCTCATCCGTTTTGAAAGAATGCACCCGAATTACAAGTGACAGATGCAAGGAAATCAAAATGTATCTTCAACATATTTATCATTATTTTACTTTTTATGGCATATGATATATAGTAAACACCAACTAATAGTAACGTTATATCGAAATTATAATTTTCTACTTGACAATGTAACTGTTACATACAATATGCGTCATATTGTTGAATGGATAATTATAACATATTGATGTAATATCATTATTAATTGATGTTTATTGAATTATAGTATTAAATTCCGCAATATTAAAAATATTACACTTACATATTTTTATACATGAAACGTCAGGTTACAGCAATTAGTACAAGGTGGAGGTGATCCGTCGATGATATCGAGAATCGAAGATCAGAAGCAGCAGGAGGAACAGATGCGGGAATTGAAGAGAATGCGAGAGAAGTATTTCGATGCGTTATTGTCGCGAAAAAACGCTATTCTCGCTAAACGATCGATATTAAGCAATACTAAGCTGCAGGCGGAGAAAGTTCGAGAAGAGGTGACATCGCATTTCAACCAGTATTGCGACAAATTTTAAACAAAAATATTATTTACAATCTGTAATAATCGAAAAAAAAAATAGCGATAAGTGTCGTAGCATGTTTTACAATATTCGTGCCGCACGAAATGTCTATTGATATAATTATACTGTCAACGTCCGCTCACGTCACTTACATACTCCTCAATTTTCTTAGATAGAAATTATTCGTTTGTATGACACTTATCACCGTTACGTAATGAATAGTTATTTACTTTACTAACACCTTTACATGTCCAACATCCGTGTGAATCACGATGCAAATCTTTTGCGTATATTCATGTAATGTTAATAAAAGGAAATATCTCTACTAAGATTAAGATAATAATTTCTGGTTAATGGTTAATTTCTGAATAATAATTTCTGTTATTAAGAAGAAGAAACTGTATGAAAAACTAGAGAAACTGAAGCGGAGTCGGAATAGAGAAACTACGAAGGTAATCGAGAAATGTCACGCGACAGAACAAGCCGCTCGCAAAGCTCTCAATTCGATGGTAGACGAGAAACGGAAAAGAGGTATTAATAATATTTCTAAACATTGTTGTACATATGAAGATATTTGAAATAAATAAATAATCAAATTGCGAAAGCTGCCGAGATTAGCGAGGAATCCCGCCAACTGAAGTTAATATTGATTAAGCAGAAAGAAGAAGATGCGCGAAGGAAAACTCATCTGGTTCAAGAAATTAAAACGCTTCAAACGTCACGATTGAAACAAATAAAAAGTTACGATCCTACAAAATCGAGCGGTCTAGGATTCCTATGTGAAATGTCCTTGACTGAGGTTCCTATAATGTTAATTTACTGTTAGGCAAAATAAATTTTATAATAATAAGAGAAAGTAGTAAATTGAATTCTTTGTAGCTAAAAGAACAATTATTGTCCACAAAGATAAAGCAAAACGAAGAAATTGCACGTCGAAATATGCTCGTTCGACAGGAATGTGAGAGGAGGAAGAACTTGATGAAAAATTGTCAACAGGTTCTCGAACGGCACAAAGTTATTAATTAATAATTAATTAATAATTAAATATTAATTAATTAATAATTTTAATAAAAAGATATAATATTAATTATGAATTAAATTATGTGTAAGCTTTTTTATGTAGCTAATACTGAATGTTAGTTAAATCTGATGAATAAGTATACAATATAAATAAATATGTAATTTTTTTTAGATTAAATTTTCGCAAAAATTTAAAAGAACAAAGAATATAAAGATAAAAAATAAAAGATATGACTTATAATAATTGATGATAATTAAAAATAGTATTTTATTACAAATATGCAAGGCTAATTGTATATCATTTAATTTTCTTATAAAAATATCTTTTTTCTTGTTTGTTAAAAATTAATTTAATAATATAATATATAGTTAATTTATGCATTGTTCCATAAATAAATATCCTTAAATAATAAATAAGTAAATATCTTCGCATTATTTATATTTATATGCAACTTAATCTATATAAAATTATTTAATAAAATACATAATTTCTAACAAAATAAAGATTTTAAAACTTAATATAGCGTTACCAAATTAATAGAATAAATAAATATAATAATCTTGTTTCAAATCCGCAAACGGAAGAGTTTTTTTTATGTTCACATATTTTCAGATTAATTTTAAACTTAATATTTCATGTCACAGCAGCAGAACTGTTCACAACGCACTCTGGTAAAAACTTGATGAAATATTTTTATTCTGGTTTGTTTTTAAAATTCTGAGTTCACTTTATATACTGTGAGTGAAAACTTATTTGTTTATAACACTAAGAAGTTAATATATTATTATATTGTCGTTTTGCTTAATTTATTACGTTACGAGTTATATTGTGTGATGTCAAGAAGGATAAATAAAATCTATAACAGAACATATTTAACAATTTTCCGGTAACATATATCATCTTTCTCCAAATCTGTAATAATATTGTTTAATAAAAATAAAAAGTTAGTCATAGAATATATAACAGAGCATTATTTCTGATTCCAATATAATTGTGCCTATAAAGTATAAACAAAAAAAATGCATCAATCCATAAAATCTGTTTCTAAACAAAACGATCTGCAAAAGGTAAGAAATATTAATATGCAAAATTGTGTAAATTTCTTTCTATAACATTTTCGAGAAAATCATATATTATTTTAACATTATAATTTTAAGGATTGTTCACATATATTAAAATATAAAGAAATAATAGATGACGAGGTTCAGATTGATAATGAATGTGTTAATATTGGGAAATTGATTCTAAACAATCTTAAATGTAAACCGGATTTTATTGGCCAGGTAATATATATATAAAATAAAATTTATTCCGCATCAAGAATTGATAAAAAGATATTCAATTATTATATCTATCCAACAATATGTTTGTCTGAAAAATATCTTAAAAATATCTTTGTAATGTTTTTAAGATACCTTTTAAGATATCTAAAATATCATATTTGCTGGTTAAATAAAATATATTAGACTATTTAATAGGAATGAGATTGAAATATTTTCCAGGTTGACGCGGCGACAGGAAAACAAAATACATTTTGCCAAATGAGAGAAAAAAGCATAAAATGCGCTGTATGGCTGCGAAATTTTGGTATTCTACGAGGCGACATAATAACGATATGCACAGATAACCAGATGGATGCCTATGTGCCATATTTCGCAGCATTATATCTCGGCGCTATTGTAAATCCATGGCCTAAACAACAAAAAGGAATAAAATGTAAACGTTGACGTCTTTTCTGAATTTCTCTGTATTATTAATTTTCACGGTTATGTGTCTGTCTTATTACTCAATTTCACTCATAAATACCAATATTTGTAGCAAGTACAGAACACTATCTGACGCGAATCATCCCGAAAGTAATCTTTACCGATTATGACAATGCTGATAAGATTAACACTGTTATAAAAAAGAAAAGAATCAATGTAAAAGTTATAGTTTTTGGTACGCATGAGGATAAGAAGTTCGAATCTCTCGATGTAATTCTGAGTGGCAAAGAATTGAATATGATTGCTGTTAATACATTTGCCTGTGTTAAGTTAAAGAGTAATAGAGATCCCGCAATAATACTCTTATCTAGTGGTACAACTGGTTTCTGTAGAGATGTGGAAATTCCTCACACAATTTTCACAGCTTTATCGAATAACGAGGTGCCATACATGAAATTTGGCCAAATCGGCTTGTGGTTTGAATCCTTACATTGGATCATTGGTTTGTTACTGACTGTTCGTGCTATAATTTCATACGTAACAGTAATTAAAGCTTCAGGATTTGATGATGAGCATCAACTGTGCCAAATAATAGAGAAGTATAAAGTATATAGCAAGAACATTCAAATATCACTCTGATAAATTAGTATGAAATTAATAAATAATAAATTGATATAAAATGAATTTATTTCAGGTGGATTGGGTGTTTCTTGAATCTAGTATGAGCAATAAGTTGCAAAAATATAACGTTTTTCAGAAGCATAAAATTCCTTCTTTGGGTACAATCATATTCGGCGGTCCAACGATCAAACAAAGCTTTTATGGGCGTCTTAAACGTGTACTACCAAATGTTTTAATTATTCAAGTATATTGTGCGTATACTGATTACAATTGTAATCAACAATCAGCACATAGGCCTATATTCTGAATCCTCTCTTGTCGAAAAGAGAGTTCAGAATATGGACCATTATATAATGACTGAACTTGACAAATCAATATTTCCAGACTTGCCTGAAACAGGCATTCTAGCTCATCAAGAAGTATTTCGAATGCTTGAATCTAATAGTTCCATATGTAGAAATGTTAATTTGATAATTACGGATTTTGTCACTAAAGAACAATTGGGTCCGAACAGCATCGGTGCGATTTGGTGTCGCTCGCCATCCATGATGATCGGTTATTACAACGATTCCAGAAGTACAAGCAAAATTATCGATAAAAATGGTTAATAATTTTTTTGGATTAACATTGTAACTTCTTGATGCATAAAACTGCTTTTAGAAACTTAACATTAAGCAGAAAAGTTTTTATCATTTTCACTTTTTTTAATTTTATGCGAATTTTACGTGTTTAAATTGTTTGTGGCGAGAATAGAGGAAGAAAAACAAGATTTAATATCTCTGTACCTTCTGATCTAATCTTTATATCATAGAAACATATATGGCACATCGTAGAAAGATTATATTATTTATCTTATATCTGTAAAAGATATAATATTATAATGCTTTTCAGGATGGTTTCGCAGCGAAGATGTAGGCTATTATGATAATAATGGGAATATTTTTGTCATCGATCGTGTTAATCGACTTATTAGATATAGACATCACTATATTTCGCCTGCAGAAATTGAAAATATATTAGAAACTCATCCAAATGTGTCCGAAGCTGTCGTAATAGGCTTACCGCATGATTATGATACTTTTCGTCCAATAGCATTAGTTCAGCTAATACCGGAAACAGAGGTTAAAAATTAGTTATTTTATATAATATCAAATACTATTGTTTTTAGGAAAAATATATATTGTACTATAATTTAGGCACATGAAGATGAGCTGGTAAAATATGTGAAAATAAACGTGGATTATAACTGGAAGCGACTTCATGGCGTTTTTTTTACGAATGATATGCCACACATTGCAAATAATACTATTGATCGTGTGACTATTTCTCAAATGTTGCAAAATTGTTGTACATATTGTGCATGAATATGTTTTAATGAATTCAACTAATATTAAAACTCATGAGTTTCAATATTAAATCATGTAGTAATATGTATCTATTAATTTTAATGTAATAAAAAATGTAATGCGCTCTCTGATGTTACTCCAACCAAATTCCAATTGTGAAAAGAATTTACGAAAATAAACATTTTTATTTGATAATACTTAATAACATATAATTTTTTTATCTATAAATCTATATATAGGATTAGAAAATTTTTGTAATACAAATGTAGCATATTAATATTTCATATATAAATATAATAAAAAATATATAAATAAATATATAAATAAATATATCTAAAAAAATTACTGTTATATTTAATATAACAATAATGAAATATAAATCTAGTATAAATAATCACCTTTTATTTTTTAAGTTAACTAAAGACAAATCATAATAAATCAAACTAAATTTACAAATAGGTACGTATTTTTAATTTTTATTTTTTTAACATTAAATTTTATATAATATTCAATAATATTCAAATTTACATTTAACATATATCCCTACAGAAATTAAATACTTCGCTAATGATTAATTACTTATTTATTTTGAGTATTAAAAATGTATAATTCCTAGTGATTCAATTAGTGATTCAATTAACAGAATTTGTAATAATAACAAGTACTTTAATGTTCAGAGCAAATTTGTTAACATTTGTTATATATCTTCAAAAAATTATTCAGAAATAATCTCTTTCTCTGATTTTTCTTTCTTAAATACTTTCTAATATTTATTTTAATATTTAAAACAGTAATCTTAATAATTATAAAAAAAACTATATTGATGATAATTATAACGAAATTAAAGAATATAAAAAAATGCAATTTATTAATGTATATATTTGCAATATATTAATTTTACCCAGAATTAAGATGCAATCTATAAATGCAATAAAATTTATAAATGAGATAATCATCTTAATTCGTTAAATATAAAGTAGCATATTTTAATATGTATATTAGTTTGGATTATAATTATTTTTTACGTTTGTCTTATAAATATTCGATAAAAATGAATGAGGTTTGTAGCACTAATATTTCACAGAGACTAGACTTAATAAAAGTGGGATTTATGTGATTAAGCATATGCAGTTGAAAATAATTACTAGCCAGAAAAACATTAGACTTGAATAGGGTCAGAGAATACTCAACTCAAATCATATTTATATTTCTCAACATTTTTAATAGTAACAATTTTTTACGACAAGAATGAAAAGTTTCTTTATATATAACGGAATCAAAGATCATTAAGATCAAGTTAGAATGTTCCATTAAAAGAGATCATTAAGGTCAAGTTAGAATCAAGTTAGAATTCCACTAAAATTAAGGACGTGTTTTAAAGTCACACTGTATTTGAAGCTAACAAAGAAGTGTATACAAAGTGCATACAAGATAACATTAACGATGAACATTCCTTTGAAGATACCTGACGAAGAAATCTGTATGCAGGAATAACTAAAATTGATAGCTAATAATATTTCAAAAGAGTACAAGTAGTAGTGATGTATAACTTTCAGAAATTCTACATAGAGATACTACATATAACAGTACTACGTATAACAGGATTGTAAAAGAATAACAAAGAAATGACTGAACACTCATATATTTGTGATGGATTACACTATGTTTTGCATTAAGAGGATGAGTCAAAAAAATTGACATATTTTATAATTTTTATAACATTTTATAATTAATAAATTTTAAAATTGACATATTTTATGTGAAAGTTAAACTCTTGAAGAATATATTTTAGAATTTTATTTTGATTTAAGAAAAGACAACGAAGTTATTGAATAAGTTTCTGAAAATACATCAGGTAGTTTTAGCATCAGTAAACGATAAAAAAATTTCTCACAAATGGTCTACACAAATATAAAATGAAATGTTTTTTCCTTGTTGATTTATGGAATCTTTCTGATCCTAAAATCTTTTTGTATTTTTTTGTTGAAAATGATTTTGACAGATGTTTTTTAATAAAAAGTATTAGAGAAACAATTTCGTCAGTTGCATTGTCAGAAAAGTATATAATAACTCTTGTGATATAAAATATGGAAAGTTTTGGATTACACATGTTTTACGAAAAATTTCACAGTAAATTTAACGAATGATGGGATGTTCGAAAATTTAACCGACAAACTTTCGGAGATTGTCGGGGGCACCAAGGGTCATTTTTTTACAAATATACCTAGAGTCGGAAACGTGCTGTTACATCGCTACGACAGACAGTATTCGAAAAAGATCGGTTTATTTATCGGTGACTGAATTAGCCATCGATCTTGTCATAAAACAATCTTGATCTAATCTTGGCGATGCCACCCAATGTCAAACTTGTAAGGTCGCTAAATAGATCTTTTTACATCCTACTTTTGTCTGAAACAATTTTTTATAAAACTTATATTTTTTGAGATATTTCGAGGTTCCGACCTTTTTTGAACATTGTCCGCCGTAGCCATGTAACGACACGTTTCCGATTCCGAGATCCATTTGCAAAAAAATGATCCTTTTGGTGCCCCAACAATCTTTGAAAGTTTATCGGTTGAATTTTCAAACACTGTATAATCATATTTGTATAACAAAGTTATTTCAGAGAGTAAAAGAATTAATTTACTTGACTTTCTTTTATAAACTATCTTTACAATTAAATTGTAATTTCTACAATTTTAAAATATTTAATATTTTTTATAATTTTATTACAGAGATATCATATATATATATATATATATATATATATATATATATATATATACATGTGTGTGTGTGTGTGTATATATATATATATATTTTGTAATATACGTATATATGTGTATTATTGTATTGTGACGTGTTATTCTAAACACGTTATTTGCGATAAATATCATCACATGCCTTGGTAGTCGAAGGGATAATGCCTGCCTGGTAAGCAGGAGATCCAGGAGATGCGATTTCTGGCTGAAGTGGTATTTTTTCGCAAAATAATTACGAGGTTTCATGACTGATTAGTGATCGGGCCGTGATGCACATCCTCCCTTCTTATTTGGGTATAATCAGTAATTCATAATCATATCAACATCCATAATACCGATTTGACTTGAATATTTCTATTCAACTATCAATTCTTAAAGTATTGTAAAGTCTTATACAAACTTGCACATTGTGAAATCGATAATACTATTTCCGCAACAATATCTATTTAATCCATTAATATTATAAGAAATAGATTATTTTGTTCTATTTTATATCTTCTTATATAACTTGATTTGTAATACAAATTACAAATAACAATGTTAATGCCATTTATTACAAATTAAATAAATATTTAAATAAAATTAAAATTTAATAACTTTTGTATCACAACTTTAAAAACTTAAATCTTTTATTTTTACTATTATTCTTGTTAAAAGTTGATATTAATCTGTTGGATGAAAAACTAATAATAATTTGCGTTTGGATAATACGATGTATCTGATAATCAAACAAGTCTTTTTTCTAAATTAAAGATCGATAAGAGAGAATTAAAGATTTAATCTAAATTAAAGAAAGAAGAATAAAAGATAGGTTAACGATTCATATCCAGGTTTGATCCCTGGCTGAGATGATATTTTTTGCAATATATATTTCCTGTGTGGGAGGGGATAATAAAAGGGATTTTAATCGATATCAAAATTGTCGAATTATTATAGAACTACTACGTTGGAAGACTGCTTGTAGTGGCGCGTAGTTGGTGATATAACTGTTTGAATTTACTTTATTTAGAAAATTTAGCAACCAAGATCCTGCTTGCCGAAAAAATGGCCATATTTCTCGATGTAGTTTGTTAGTTAACATGTACTCGGTTTATATCTATGTATTGTTTAATAATTACAGCTTAAAAAATAAAAGTTAAAAATATTCATATATATTCATAGGTATTTAATCACAATAATTTAAATTAATTCATAGCTATTACTGTATAAGGATTTTATCACAAGAGTATTAGTATTTAAATATTCATATAAAGCATAAAATAATACTTATTTAATTACTAAAGGTAAGCACTGAATGTAAGCAAAATACTTTTATTGTCAACAAGCTTTATTAAATTATTAAGAATTATTAATAATGCTCTTTTTAGTTAAAATTATTAATTACTAGTTTATTAAATTTTTATAAAGATCTTCCTTATCTTTATATTTGAGTTTTATATATATATAAATTTTTAATTTCAAGATATAATTCTTAAGTTATAAAAGTAATAAATTTATTGAGAATGTTAAACATTTAATTTTGAAAATGTAACTTAATTTTGTAAATGTAACTGTATTTTTATTATATTATTTTTGAAAAGTATAAAGTTTTAATTTTAGTATTAATTAAAAATGTATATTAAACACACTTGGCACAATCCACGATCGTGTATCTTGATATTACAAAAACTTATTATTCCAATTTTGTAAAGGATATATGATAACGTCCGACATATATGATAACATAGAAAATGTGTACATAGAAATAAAATACATTCCATTATCGATTTGAGTAAATCTTCTCTTTAATTCACTTTTCAAAGTAAAGACTAACGCTGAATTATGACTAATACAATGAGAGCAATGTCATTGGGAAATTTGTGGTTTCCATAGTTCGTGCAGATTCAATTCATTATAAAATCCTAGAGAGAGGGATATTACGTGTCTAGCTATACTATATACTATATACCTGAGGTAAGCAGTAGTTAGTGAATGACAGTCTACTTTTATCTGCGGTCATATATGCTTCGCTCTTCACTTGCCTGTTATATTCATCGTAAAAGATGGTAGTGAGTTTCCATTTTGTAAATAAGAAATTCATTTTTTATTATAAATAACATTATTTATTCTTTTCTCATTTAAACTTTTTTATCTTTTACCATACATCGGATACTTTGATGATACAATTGCAACTACAGGTATTATGTAAATTTAAATATATTTTTTAAATATAAATATAAATATCTCTGAAAAATACTCGCGTATCTTTTTATATTATTTTCTAATCGTTAGATTAGATTTTTTAATCGTTATAGAATAATTTATATCTTTTAACACATACAGTAAATGTTTTTTTAATAGCGATTAAATATTTAAGACATTTTATTATATTTCATAAATAAACTAACTAAACAATTTAATTAAATTAAATATTTTTAAATAATATCAAAATCTTTTTTCGTTATTTCTTGTAAGACAAGAAATACCAAAATTTATCGTCTTCAAAATCAATTGCTTAGAATTTTTATAGAAATCCTACTTAATTGGACAATTTGATACTGCTCTTAGAAATTTAATACTGGTCAATATAATACTAGAAATTACTTATTTTGACTATTAAAAAATACTTCAGGGTTTTTAATAAAAATAAATAATCAATTATTTTTAGTATTAAATTCTACAAGAGTAAAAATTAATTATTTAGAATATTAAAAGTGCTAAGCAACAGTGCTTTTAATACTTGAAATAAATAATTAAAGACATTCTAGTATTAAATTTCTATAAGAATATAAGAAATAAAAAAATTTTTCAACAAGTTTTTCTTTATTTAGATACATTAGTAAATGTACTTCAATAAAATAAGTTTAAGTATAATAATATATATGTTGGAGTCTTACAATAGAATCACCATTTACAACTATAAAAAAATAATGCAGAACTGAATCATAATTAACATACATACATCTAATAGCAATGAAACTTAGTTAATTAATTATTTAATATCTTGACAAAATAACATAATGATATTGATAATATTGATAATATAACTTATATAATATAAAATATTATATAGTATTTTCTTTCAAGATAAGCAAAAAATCTAATTAATTAAATTTTAAAAACATAGATTTGTAACGTCTTGCTCAACAAAATAGTTATATCAAAAATAGTTTATAATAAATATAATGGCAATAAAACTTTTACTAACTTATAATAAGAATAAATTTGTTATTACAAACTCATTTCAAAATTTAACTATTACGTAAACTTTCGAAACATTCACGCAGTCTGTTATCATAATATTACAATAAAATTACAATAAAATATTATAATAAATATTATATAATATTATAATAAAATTACAATAAAATTAATATTTATGAAAGATTTTATTATTATGTATATAAAAAAGTATAATGTATTTATTTTTGTATTTATTTTTAATTTATTATTTTATGTTTATTAATTTTATTTTATATGATTAGTACAATAGGATTGATTCATGATTTGTTTATGACAAAGAGAGTAATATTTTTTCATCAGAGACGCATGATTGAATTCAGAATCTCATCTTTTTACTTATCTAAAATTTAAATTTCAAAATGGTTGTGGATGACACAAAGGTAAATATAAAAGTAGCATATATAATTGACCTTTCTGTATGATATTTAAAGCGAAAGCTATCATTAGTTATAACTAATGTAAAACATAGATTAAAGATAGAGCTTAGAAATTTAAATAAATTAAAATTGTCCGATACCTATATTATTTTTTTTTTTAGAAATTCACCGTAGAAAATGGTGTTTATAAGGGACAGGAAATGATTGCTATTAATTTAGACTGTAAGAGCCTTGGAGAATTAATATGGAATAGCATTAAAAATCATGGAGACAAAACCGCACAGGTGAATCAATGTTTATATTATATTACAATATTATAAGATAATTATATTACAATATTTAATATAATATAATATAGAGGACTTTCTAGAAAAAATAATACATATAAAAATCTTATAAATACAGAAAACTTATAAATACAAAAAAACGTTTTTAGTCTTTTGCAGAATAAAAAACGGATTGAGATATTGAAAAAAAAGCAGTTAAATTTATTTTGATTATTTATTATCTATTTATACTCTTATCCATTAATTATTAATATTGAAATAAATATGAAAGTCATTTTAACTCATACAAATAAGAATGAAACTCATTTAACAACATACTTTCTGAAATAAAATATTAAGAAAAAATGCCTATGTATAATAGAAAATATATCATTATTAATATTTCAGTAGAATAGAATAATGGAGAATATTTTTTATTACGTCTGTAAAGCATAGTATTACGTTTCTTAATAATAATATGTTTCCTATACATCATACAATCTGCAAAGAATAGCTTACACTAACGAATCATGTCTTATGTAATATATTTAAGATCAAGAAATAAAAAAAATTGTGTTAGATTTAAAAATATAAACATATGTTAAAAATAAGCTACAATTATTGAGAAAATAGTTAAATTACAATTTATATATTATTATATAAATTATTTAAATTCTATTTAATTTAAACTTTATATAATTTAATTAACTGCAAAATACTTTAATAATATGCAATTATTTTTAATAATATATTTTTTATAATGCAAATAGATATTAATATTTAAGATATTTATTTGTAAATATTATTTTGCATTAAAAACGTTTTATTTATACATCTTGATGCTGTATTTTTCCAAAAAATGATATATTCTAGTATTATAAGATATTTTTTTAATCATAAAATTAATTATTCTACTCTGCAACAACTTTCAAACACAGTTTTAATAACTTTGTTTATATAATAATAATATTGTATAGTTGTACGTATGCACCGAGGAAACAATCACTTACACGGAGCTGCAAGATAAAATTGTAAGATGTGCATTGTGGCTTCAAAAACAAGGAATCAAACCTGAAGATGTCATTAGTGTATGTACAAATAATCAACCCAACGCCATTGTGCCCTGTCTATCGGCAACTTATATCAACGCGATCTTCAATCCATGGAATGAAGCTATGGATATGCGTAAGATTTTTTAAAATAATTATTATTAAATGCCTTACTACATAATAATACTAATACTACATAATACGTAATACTTAATTCGATTACAAATACTTTTTATAACTAAGTGCGCATATATAATTCTATTGATTTTACATTAATTAGGCTTGTTCATTTTTCTTAATTGTGCATGAATATTTTACAGTTAAGTATTTATTGTTTTTTTTGTTAATTGTCTGTTATTAGAAACCGCGTTGCACGTTTTACAACTGACCACGCCAAAGGTGATTTTCTGTAGCGAGAAATGTGTGGACGTTGTTTTAAGCGCGATGAAGGAGACGAATCGCAGTTCAATAATGGTGGTTTTCGGCAAGCACGCTGGCGCTATTTCATTTTCTGATGTTTTGAAAAGCTGCAGTGACGCGGACGTAAAAAACTTTCGTTATGTCGAGCTCGATGATATAAAAAAGACAGCGTGCATTTTGCATTCATCAGGCACTACGGGAATGCCAAAGGGTGTTGAATTATCCAATTATACTCTAGCATTTGTGAGTCAGGATAATAACTTGAATGTAGCTAATATGCCAACACTTTGGTTTTCTTCTCTTTATTGGATTAGTGGGGTAATGATGAACATGAAATCTATCATACAAGGTGCCGCAGTGATCCTTTATCCGGAATTCGATGAGGAAATGACTTGTCGGTTGATTGAGAAATACAAAGTAATATTATTTAACAATATTTCATTTTTCATATATTTATGAGAAATTTTACTTGTCAACTCATAAAAGTGGGTTTTTAATTTTTGTGATTGTCTGATATGATTTGAAAAAGAGGCACGTTGATTGAAATATAATAGTTTATTGATATATATTTCCTATCGCAGATAAATTTTACAAAAATAATATCAGTAATTTAATTTTCGAGCTCTCACAAATCTTATAATAAAATAATATTAATTTTTTAATTTTTTAATTATAATACTTTCAACATCATTTACAGTATTAAATTCTTATTATCATAATAATAATATCAATTTTTAATTTTTAGCAATAATGATATAACAATAATAAAATTAATTTTTTATCAGAAATTTATCATCTAATAACGTACTTTTGTATAAAGAAATTATGTTTATGCTTATTAGAAGATAAATGCAAGTTGCAATTTTATAAAATCATATAGCATTATTGCGTATAATATAGATTGATATACGTTATGTAAATTACATAATCGATGTAAATATTACGCAAATATTACGATGTAATATTTGCGTAATTTACATGCATAATGTATCAAAATTTAAAATGTAAATTATTACAGGTGGCAATTCTTTTTCTCAGCACGAGCATGATTAATCGGTTTCTTAGAGCGGGTTACGTAAAAAATATTCATTATCATCTTTGAAAGCTATAATGGGTGGTGGTGCAATAATTAAACCAAAGGTACAAGAAGAGCTGAAACGTATTTTACCTCATGTTATAATATTGCAAGGTTATGGTAAATATTATTTTAATGCAATAATGTATA